CAACCCACCAACTGCGTTCGTTTTAAATACTCCATATATAATACTCATCAAAATATGAAAGTTTATTTTTTGATTTTTTTTTTAACTTTTCCTTTGACGAAGTTTCTTGAAATTCCAAAAACCATTTCTCTGTTTTACTTTTGAATAAGAACCAAATTAGAGCAAACAAGAGAAGATGAAGCTGACCTGCATCAGTACCTTCTAACAGATCACAATCCAGTGATCCACATGTTAGTCTAACCCTTAGACGAACTTTAAAAACGGTTTGGCAAGTTGACTTTGGGAAAATGCGTTCTTACCAAAAAGAAAAAGAAGAAAAAAGCGCTTTACGAATCGGGTTTGTCAAGTTGACATTGTTGACTATTGGGTTATGCAAACGCGTTCATTTAGAATACTACAAATAATATAGGGAATAGCATATGCATCAAAATAAGAAGAGCGCAATGGTAATGAAGATAACACATGTACCTTTGCTTCGTCTTCTTCTTTGCTTATTCTTTGTGATTGGTCTTGTAGGAGATAAAATACCAGGTTAGTTCACATATCAAGAGAATCAAAATTATGATATTTGCATTATGATACTTGCTTTGGTTCACTATATCGTCTTCTACGTATCTTTGATTTATCTAAAGAAACAATAAGTTTTTTCATGAAGCAAAACTTTGCATAGCTTAAAGGTATTTTGATATATCGTTTTTTTTTTTTTAATAATCACCTCTATTAGAATGATCAAGTAACTCGATGTTCGGATGCTCTAAATTTTTATTCAGCTTCTCGTTACCTCCCATTAGTAGGGTATGGGAAAAAAATAACTAGATTAAGGATCTCTTTTATTAATTTCTTTTTTTGGGTCCGACAAATTATTAAAGTCATAACAATTTTCTATATAGAATTACAAATGATAGATTATAATAGAGCAAGCATACATAAACCAAATTTGGACGGAAACCCAAAATGTAAAAAAAAAAGTTGTTGTTGTTCTGACCTAATTTAATATTGGGGTGACGTGGCAAGGGAGAAAAAAAAGGCGATTAGGGTTTTGCGGACCTTCCTCCTTACGTAAGGGCTCCGGCGGCCGCCGACGGAGCTATGACGGGTGGAGTTGGGCCGGTTGGAGATGAGACTGCGGAGGTGATAGCGAGAGACGTGGTGTTATGGTTGGATAGTTGTCAGAATACAAAGGAAGGAGATGAAAGTGTGATAGCACATGAGGCGATGAGGAAGGAGGGTTTGGTGATTCAACCAGCACAAGGGGTTTTGGTTTCACAGATCGAAGAGGGAGAGATTGTCCCTGTAGTACCGAGTTCTGGTGCAAAAGAAGTGACGGGTGTAAAACCTACATCATGGGCATCAATTGTCCGCAAAGAAAAGGAGATGATGCGTTATGAGCTGAAAGTGGAAGAGATAGATGGTATCCCCACAGCAAAGATACCAGATATTGTGTTTAAGGATGCACCTCTTTGGGAGGACTTCATAGTTGGGAAATTCCTGTCAAAAGCTCCTTTTGTTGGAAGGATCCATGCTCTTGTTAACAGAATATGGACTCTTGGAGATAAATCTCTTAAAATTGATGTCATCGTCGTTGATGAAACTACTGTCCGATTTCGTATCCCGGATACAAATGTCAGAGCTAGAATACTGAGGAGAGGAATGTGGAACTTGTGTGACGTCCCCATGGTTGTCACCAAATGGAGTCCGATTGTAGAAGCAGAACCAGCTGAAATGACCTCAGTACCGCTGTGGGTTGTGGTCAAGAAAGTACCTCCGAGGCTCTTCTCATGGAATGGTCTATGTGCTCTAACCAGTCCACTGGGCGAGCCAAAAAAGCTCCACCCGGATACAGAAACTTGTAAGAGTTTAGATGATGCAAAGGTTTTGGTCGAAGTGGACTTAACAAAAACACTTCCAAAACGTTTTTGTTTCAAGTCAGATTCAGGTCCGGATGCAGTGGTGGAGTATATCTTTCCATGGCTACCTCCGAGGTGTATGGGTTGTATGAAATGGGGTCACCTCATTAAAGACTGCAACCAAAGTGCGAATAAAGTTGTGGTGGGCGGATCAAAAATGCAGGAGTTTTCAGAGGAACAGATTAAGCAAACGGCTCCGATTTCGCCATCGGAAGCAAAATCACAAACTAAGCCATTGGAGGAAATTACTGTAACCGTAAGGGGTACTGCTCAGGAAAATCCAGAGGCAACTCATGTGGAGGAGAAGGCCTGGTCAACTCCAACTAAAACGAGCCGAAGTCCCATAAGGAACCCAGAATTAAAATTCGGAGAAGTCTCAATTCTGACCAACTCCAGATATGCAATTCTTAGTGAGGCGAGTGAAGAGGGGGGAAACGTGGAGAAGAAGGTAATAGAGCAAGAGACAAGGGATATGCAAAAGACCAAAGACCCAAATATGGTAGCCTCTGCCTTGCCTGAAGTGAGTGAGAGGGAAGAAGCAGAGGAGGAAAAGGACTCGGGTACGAAAGAAATCGAACAGTGCAGAATGGATACTTTGACGGACCTGAAGAATAGCTGGGGGTGGAACGCTGAGGCAATCTCTACCACGCAGTTCAAAGGGAAGCCATAAGTTCCTATCTCAACAGAAAGCAATGAATGCCAAGGACCACAATCCTGGTATTCGGGAATCACGCAACTCAAACAAACATATTTAATGTCGGGATTCTTCTGGAATATCCGAGGTTTAAACAAGAAAAGCAAACATAGTGTGGTGAGGGATTGGATCAGAAAGGAAAAGTTTGACTTTGGTTGTCTCATCGAAACAAAAGTCAAGGCAGGAAAAGCAACTAATATTTTCTCGGACATTTTTAAGGGTTGGTCCCTGTTATCTAATTACGAAGAGCATCGGCTGGGAAGATTGTGGGTGGTTTGGAAAGACAATGTGCGAGTCACTCCTCTGTTCAAAATAGCTCAGTTAATAACGGTTTCAGTGATGGTAGAAGGCCGTACTGAGGAGTTTTTTGTTTCATTTATATATGCTTCCAATTTCGTGGAAGATCGGAAAACACTTTGGGAGGATCTTCGATATCATCATGCTTCTCCTCTGTTCCGGGACAAATCTTGGCTTCTTTGTGGAGATTTTAATGAGATTCTAGAGGGGGCAGAACATTCTCTGTATGATAATTCACCATCTATTCCACCTGGAATGAGAGATTTCCAAGACTTTGTGAATCAATGCGAACTGGTTGATTTGGTATATCATGGACAGAATTACACTTGGTGCAACAAACGTAAGGAGGGGGTAATATGCAAAAAACTCGATCGGGTTCTGGTTAACAAAGATTGGATTCATGCTTATGACAGATCGTATAGCGTCTTTGAACCTGGAGGTTGTTCGGATCATTTGAGGTGCCGATTCTATTTGAAAGAGGTGGGGGGAAAGGTGCGAAAACCATTCAAATTCACCAATGCCATATCGTCTCATCCTGAGTTTCTGAAGGAGGTTACAGAGTTATGGAAAACGTCGCAACCGTTATTCCACTCAACTTTGGCCATGTACCGACTTACGAAGAAACTTAAACAACTGAAACCAAAGATGCGAGCATTAGGGAGAGATCTTTTAGCCGATATCTCGAAGAGAACCAAAGCTGCTTTCATCAAGCTATGTGATCTTCAAGGTATCACTATGCAAAGGCCAACTAGTGCAGCGGTTGAGGAGGAATCTGAAGCGCTGCAGAGCTGGATGAGGCTTGCAGATATTGAGGAGAAATACTTAAGCCAAAGATCCAAACTCCATTGGCTTAAGATCGGTGACAAGAGTAACAAAACATTTCATAATGCTGTCAAACTCAGGGAGATGCGTAACAGCATTAGAGAAATTAAGTGTGGGGATGGCTCAGTGGTTGCGGATCAGGTGGATATCAAAAAAGAGGCGGAGAGATATTTTCATGAATTTTTAACAAGGAAACCAGAGGATCTAGAGGACTGGCCGGTTGAGGATCTCCGTGATCTGTTGGGTTTCCAATGTGATGATACGGATAAAGCACTTCTAATCAAAGACGTGACCAAAGAAGAGATTCAGAAAGTAATTTTCTCTATGCCAAGGAATAAAGCACCAGGCCCTGATGGGTTTACTAGTGAATTCTACAGGGACTCATGGACTATTGTTGGTGATGACGTAACTACAGCAATTCAATCTTTTTTCCAGAAAGGATTTCTGCCTAAAGGTGTCAACTCTACCATCCTTGCTCTTATTCCAAAGAAGCAAGAGGCTCATGAAATGAAAGATTACCGCCCCATATCCTGCTGTAATGTGTTATACAAAGTGATATCTAAGATTCTTGCAAACAGGCTCAAAGGAATTCTCCCCAAATTCATCGGCCTCAATCAGTCTGCTTTCATCAAAGACCGGCTCTTGATCGAGAATGTTTTATTAGCCACAGATCTAGTAAAGGACTATCACACAGACACAGTTTCCCCTCGCTGTGCAATGAAAATAGATATATCCAAAGCATTCGATTCTGTCCAATGGGATTTCTTGGGAAACATACTGACTGTGATTGATCTGCCCTCTCAGTTCATACATTGGATTAGACTGTGTATCTCCACAGCCTCTTTTTCGGTGCAGGTGAATGGTGAGCTTGCCGGTTACTTTGGTAGTGCAAGAGGTCTTAGACAGGGCTACTCTCTCTCTCCCTATCTATTTGTTATTTGTATGAATGTGTTGTCCAAATCTCTGGACAAAGCTGCGAGGGATCGCATCGTCGACTACCATCCCAACTGTTCAAAGTTGAAGTTAACGCATCTGTGCTTTGCAGACGACTTGATGGTGTTTGTGAAGGGGGAAAAACGATCAATAGAAGGAGTATTAAAGGTTTTTGAGGAATTCGCTACTAAGTCCGGACTTCGTATCAGTTTGGAGAAATCAATTCTGTTTATGGCGGGTACTTCTGACTCGGTTAAAGCTGATATTTTGTTAGAATTCCCTTTTGCTGAAAGAGAGTTACCGGTAAGATACTTAGGTTTCCGTTATTGACGAAACGTATGACCGCTATGGATTACTTGCCACTGATTGAGAATGTGCGCAATAGAATCAGCAAATGGACAGTTCGAGCCCTTTCTTTCGCAGGCAGGCTCCAGCTTGTGAGATCGGTGATTTTTAGTGTTACAAATTTCTGGATCGCAGATTTTAGATTACCTAAAGCGTGCATTCAAGAAATTGATAAGCTTTGTTCAGCTTTTTTATGGTCGGGACCATCTCTAAATCCCAGAAAGGCAAAGGTAGCATGGAAAGACGTTTGCTTACCTAAAGAAGAAGGAGGCTTGGGCCTACGTTCAATTGAAGAAGCAAATAAAGTATGTTGTCTAAAGCTGATCTGGAAACTTATCTCCTCAAAGAATTCCTTATGGGTAAATTGGGTTACCGAGTATCTTATTCGCCGTGGCTCCTTTTGGGCGGTACAGAGAAGCACCAACTCTGGTTCATGGATGTGGAGGAAACTCCTGAAGTATAGAGACTTGGCGAAACAGTTTTACATGGTGGAAGTTAAAGGAGGAAACAACACATCCTTCTGGTTCGATCACTGGAGTGATTTGGGTTGCCTCTTTGACAGAGTCGGGGATCGAGGGCCGATTCAGCTTGGTATCAATCGTCTGGCAACAGTTGGTGAGGTGCTAGATCGACATCGACGGAGAAGACATCGGCAAACCATCTACACGGACATTGAGTATGAGATTCTCAAAATCAGACAACAGCGAGAGGAAGGAGTTGATGATGTAGTGAAATGGAAAAGCCATTCAGGACAGTGGCAACCGAAATTTGTTTCTAGAGATACATGGGATCACATCAGAATAGTTAGACCAAAGGTGAATTGGTACAGAGGTGTGTGGTTCTCCCAGGCCACTCCAAAATACTCATTCATGGTATGGTTAGCTGCACAAAACCGGTTGGCGACAGGTGACAGGATTCAACGCTGGAATACGAATGCTGATACAGCTTGCGTCTTCTGC